CCCGGCGCAGTGTGCGGGGCGGTGGCACGTACCAGTGTGTACGTGGGGGGGCGCAGGGGCATGTGCATGGTGCAGCACTGCACAGTACCTGTGTGCGCCAGGGCTTGGAGTGTCCATGTGTGCAGAGTTCCCGCTAATCTCTTCCATCCCATGTGCAGAATAAATTTGTTATGTGCACAGGTGCACTACAGGAGAAACAAAAACCTAGCTGTGGGCGCTCTGCTAATCCAGTGCTCAGCATCTGACTTTTCTCCTGAGCAGCTGCGCGAGTGCACTATTTAAAGGGAACACTGCCTATGTGTATATGGGCAAGCACAGTTGTGCAAGGGGTTCAAAGTATGTGTTACGCATGTGATGTGTGCCAGAGTTGGGATGTTTGTGCACACACTTGTGGCACATGGGTAAAGGAGCTCAGCATGTTTGCCTGCATACACAGGTGTGTGCATGAGCTCAGAGGGCATTTAGGTGTGTTCAGGGATTACAATGGTGTGTGTATACGCACATGGGCTGTGACGTGTGTATGCTAGGATTGGAAAGTTTGTATGTTTGCAACAGAGTTTGTGTGCAGGAGCTGGGAGTGTTTGTGCACATGCCTGTGCCTTGTTGTAGGCATGGGGTGTGTAAAAAGCATGTGTGTTCAGTGGTGTGTGAGCATGCAAATAGGAATGTATGTTGGAGTGTGAAAGAGGGATTAGACATGTGAGAGTGTTGGCTTTATTAGGATGCATGGGAGAGTTTGAACCTATGTGTGTATTGGGGAAGAGAAGATGCACATAGAATTCCGGGGTATTGGTGGCAGGTGTTAATGATGAATGTGTTCTAAGGGTGCATTGTGAAAGCAAGCTGCACATTGCTATAGTCTCAGAAGCATGTTTGACTGTATATGTTTGGAATGGGGGCTAGTCTTCATAGTTGCAGTGCAGTTTGTGAGAAGTGTGTACTTTGGATCTCTGTGTTGCCTTTACTTCGCTCACCTGCCTGTTATTCTATATAATACAAGGAAATCCATTCTTCTCATTCTGTCAACATTTACTTCGCTCACCTGCCTGTTATTCTATATAATAGAATGAGAAGAATGGATTTCCTTGTGTCAACTGGCCCATTACAGAGGTGAAACCTATTTAGTCTGGACTTCTGGAATAACTTTGTTCCTATATTTTTTCTTTGGGTCCTGATTTTTTTTTTTTTTTTACACCACCAGTACAAGTTCCACCTCTATAGTTTGGACTTCCATAGTCTGGAAACGTTCATGGTCCTGCATCCCTGTGGGTGCTCAGAAACTCCTCCCTTGCATTCCTAGAGCAGTGGTGACTGGTGACAGGAGAAGGGGGGGGCACCAGTCCTACCTCTCCCTGCTCTCTTACTCCATCTCACTCTGCCCTGCCTTTTCCCACCACTGTCAAGAGTGGTAGTAATTGAATCTCCTGGCCTGCACTTTCCCTGCCACCGCTGCAGGTGAGTGGTGGTGGTGGGGAGAAGCTGCATTGCAAAGACTCCTGCTGTTGGCCCCGGCTCCTCCTACCTTGGAGTTGCATGTGGCCCTGTGTGCATCCCCCATGCATTGCCCCTGTTCCGGAGCTTCTGGAGCTCCTCAAATAGCTCAAGCTCAGGGAGAGAGGGGGGAGGAGCAGGGATATTGCCTGGGGACTGCAGGGCAGTGGAGGGTTGTGCCAGACTGGCTGGGCTGGAGCGGCCTGCCTGCTGCATCCAGGCTGGAGCGCCTCCCCGCCATGGTCAAGTGCTACTCCGGGTGGGCTGGAGTCCCTCTGCCCACGATGTACCCAGCTGCTCCAGCCCCCACCAGTTAACCATAACCGGTAAGTCTCACCCTTTGAGAGAGACTTACCATTTAACTGGCTAACCAGTAAAAACCCTACTGAGCAGCCCCCATCAGTTTCCGCTCTGTCAGTGCTGGCCCCTCTACTGCTGCTGGAGCAGAGCCCCACAGGTGATGGCAGTAGAGGGACCATCATTGACCTTCCCTGGTCCGGCAGATTCCCTGGTTTGGGACAGGTCAGGTACAACTTGTGCTAGCTATTGTGCAGTAGACACAGATAACGTTTGGAATGGTTATATTGGAATGAGGTTTTTTTTTATCCTTTGTGAAGCAAAGTAGTTGCCGCTTCATATGGTGTTAGTCTGGGACTCTGATTTGAATTTGGTGTCCTCTCTGTGTGCAGTTTCACACTTATCGGAGAAGATACAGAAGGTGACTATGAACAGGATTCTAGTCTGATCTCAGAAGAAAAAAGAGAAGACGATGTGGAACAAGATTCCAGTCTCTTCGGAGAAGAGGAAGCATCAGAGAATGAAGAAGATGGTGAACCATTAGTGAAACTGACTGAAGATGAGCTGAGTAGTAATGGGATCATACTCACAAATGGCATACAGGAGTGGCCAGATGGTTCCAGTTACAAAGGAGAATTTGGGTTTGATCTAAAGCTTGGTTTTGGAGAATTCTCATGGATCAATGGTGAGGTAAACTGGTTTAGTCTATTTAACATTTACATTAAGTACACGTCTCTCTGATAGCATGTTTGATTTGTATACAATGCTGTCAAGAAACATGGGTAAGTGTCTCACTTTTCAGTTTACAAAAGTGTAATAAATCTGCCTGACATGCATCACACAGCACATGATGCTAAACGTTCAGCTAGCACTGCTCTTCTTGCATAAACTAGAGTTCTGTTAAACTTATTAATACAAAATAGGTATGTCCATATCTCCTATTAGCAGCCATTGTGTTGTCAGATAGTTACAGTATGAAATATTAATGGAGTAGGATCCAAATATCAGAAATTGTGAACTAGTTTGCAATTGCATTAGTACTTATTTTAATATTGGATGAAGAACTTAAATATTTAAACATTAATTCAGTTTCAAGGCAGGATGGAAATTAGTTTATATCTGACATTCAGTCGTCATTTCGTTAATGCAAACAAGTTTGGCATTTTGTTTACTTGGCATTTATTCAACATTTTCTTATTTCTGTGTAGTATCACACATCTCCTGGACCAGACGTGCCAATGGCGTCCAATCCAGGAGAGCTGGCAACCTTATGTGTGAGCCTAGCTTGGGGTGGTGAAGGGCACGAATAGGCGGGGGGGTTGCCACTCAGCACCCCCATCCTAAAAATAGTTCCGGCACCACTGAGTGTAAGGAAACATGCCACAAATACAAATGTTTTGTTTTACTTGCATCTTTCTGCTAGTTCTTGCTTACACCAAACTAGATAGATCTTGCTTTTTTAAAAATAAGCAGGAAGAGGTGAAACAGGTGCTAAAGGTTCTGAGTCTGTTGCCCCTGCCCCCTGTGCTTTATGTAATTGAGTTATGGACACAAATATGCATAACTCGAAGATGCTTTGGGCAAAATACCTCCTGTAACCTGTCAATTTTAATGACATAATCTGCTGGATCTGTATTTCTTATTTTGGTGTATGTATCATTCTTGTATGTAAAGTTAAAAATATGGAGTGCAAATGAAAGCCATCAAGGGTGTTTCCCTCAATGTCTGGGTGATCAGCTGTAAACAGCCTCTTTTATCCTTTGAGTCTAAGCCCGGGGTCACCAACAGGTCGATCGCGATCGATTGGTCGATCGCGAGGCGTCCTGTCCACCCCGCCCCCATTTCCCTCCCACCCCCGAGGTAGTGTAGGCTTCCTGGGGATGGACAGAATCCTGCAGCTTAGCGCCACTTCCAGCGATTCTGGAAGTAGCGCTAGCTGCTCTGCCTGGTGTACTGTGTGAGGGAGCATCGGCTCTCTGCACCTCACAGGAGGGGTGAGTCAGCCCCGGGGGAGGCATGCAGGGGGTTTCCTGGTGTGTGGGGGGGGCGGCCCCCTGGGCCGGTGAGCGCACACGG